TTCGATCCCCGGGACCACCCATACGTAAAAATGTATGCGCACATGACTGTAAGTCGCTTTGGATAAAAGCGTCTGCTAAATGGCATATCATTATTATTATGTGGATGGGACAGTTTCAATGTCATGTGGATGGGACAGTTTCAATGTCACGTGGATGGGACAGATCCAATGTCACGTGGATGGGACAGTTCCAATGTCACGTGGATGGGACAGTTCCAATGTCACGTGGATGGGACAGTTCCAATGTCACGTGGATGGGACAGTTCCAATGTCATGTGGATGGGACAGTTCCAATGTCATGTGGATGGGACAGTTCCAATGTCATGTGGATGGGACAGTTCCAATGTCATGTGGATGGGACAGTTCCAATGTCACGTGGATGGGACAGTTCCAATGTCATTAACTTGTAAGGTGTTGTTTAGCTTCCCTACTGTAGCCTACACACTGACTATAGTTCCCTATGGATAAGCTTAAACAAGTGTCTGCTAACTGACTTGCATGTCAATGTAGGTGCATGGATAGGAGCCAGCAGCTAAAAGATGTCAACATGATGAGTCTTCAGTGTGTCGGACTACCAGAGGCACCAACCTACACGTCAACATGAAAGGATCTGTCATGGAATCAATGTAAAACATCTGTCTCTCACACACACTCTGCCGAGACAGACAGACAAACAAACAGACACACGTACACAAACAAACAAACACACACACACAAGTATATAAATCCCCATGTGTGGCACAGAGATGACAGCCCTCTGGCGCGTAGTGCACTGCAGTAGAGCGCCCCGGCATCTTGGCTGTCTGACTCAGTCGCTCTGTTAAAAAGGGGAAAGCAGGCGACTGGGGGCAGGGTCTGTCAGCGTGTGATAAGGCCTTTTTACTCCAGAGGCAGGATGTCTGTGTGTGTGAGCTGCACACAGATGTGCTCTCCCCCATTGCAGACACATAATTAAAGCAGTGTGATTTTACCTATAGTATACTGTATTATGCAGTTGTGTCATTTATGTAAAACACAGTGATAGCATCACACTCAGTAAGTAAGAGTGAACACTCAGACAATGTAGCACACAACTTCTGGAAAGGATGGTAGCATTAAAACCCAAAAGGCATTCATTTACTTTCCAGTATTAACATTTATGTAGCTGATGACACAAGGTATATTAACAACAGTGGCATTAACTTATAAGTAGGGACATTTAAGGTTATGGGGTGGGGGAGGCATCTCTTACCCACGTATCCCGGCGTGCCGCACGCGGTAGACATGACATCCCCGCTGCCCTCCATCTTGGACAGACCAAAGTCACTGATCATGATCTTAGACTCGTCCTGGGGGTTAAAATACAGCAGGTTCTCTGGCTGGAGAGAGAGAGAGATGGAGTGATAGATGGAGAGATAGAGTGAGTGTGTTAATCACAAACGGAGCTCTCCCATCCTTTGATCTCTCTACTTACATACCCTGAACATCCTGTAGATATAAAACTGTAATCATTTGTTAAAGGCAGTCTATGACCCTCCACACAATACAGTTATGTTGCTGTCTGTTTTATGAGGCCGTACTCCTCTCCCTCAGGGGATTCCGCTCTGTGGTATATTTCCCAGAAGCCACTGCGTGTTGTGACCCGCTGAGCGGCCTAAATCACAAACGCGTGCTGCACCTCACCACCGCAATGAATCATGGTCCATAAAACACAAGTGATCCGCTCATGTCGAGATGCAGGTGGGAGTAGACAGGGTTTTTGTGTGTGTGTTTCAGTGTGTGTGTGTGTGTGTGTGTGTGTGTGTGAGAGTGTGAGTGCGAGCGTGTGTGTGTCACCATCACCTTCAGGTCTCTGTGGACGATGCCCAACTTGTGGAGGTAGTCGACAGCGTCTAGCACCTGTCTGATGAGCGTACTGGCATCTTTCTCTGTGTAGAACCCCTTCTCCACGATACGGTCAAACAACTCACCTCCCGACACTCTGTAGACATAGACAGACAGAGAGAGGGGCTCAGTAAAAGAGGTAAGTAAAACAGATGTGCACACACGCAGACACACATCTGGAGGGAGCCTGTTATCATATGAGACAGATCCACTGTGACTTCATTTATGAGCTATACGAATCTGCCTCCATTCAACCATGTGTGCGTGTGTTTACACCACAGTGGGGGTGTGCTTTGACCCATTCCAACCCTCTGCTCCACTAAACTTAACCCTACATGCTCCATACTATCACCATCAATCAAAGTACACCATACAGTCTAAAATTAACAGTATAGGGAGAACTGTAGCAGAGAGAGACAGGACAGGAGATGGGAGGGATACAAAATCTAAACAAAGAAACAGAGAAAAAGGTGCCTCATTTTTCTCGGGCCATAGAGTCACACAGTGGAGGATAGTTAAGCTTCAGAGTGTTTGTGTGTCAGACGGTGCCCTTGCTGTTTTACAGGTTTGTTTTAAGACTCTTAGCCAGATTATGGGCTTTTTAAAGTGTCAGAACAGCCACAGGGCAGGAGCTGAACATCCCATAACTTTCCTCAGTCCTCTACAGCTAGCTGGCACAGGGCAGTATAGATGGCTGCTAAGCACTGATCTAAGGACAGATTTGCAGTCTGTCTGTCTGTCTGTCCCTTATGGTTATGGAGAGGGTAAACTGATCCTCGGTCTGCCACTAGCAGAACAGCTCAGTGCACTGGTCATTAGCTTAGTGGCACTCAGCTGTATGTGTGGCACTGCAGAAAACCTATGTAAATACTGTAGGTCTCTGGCTGACCGTAGAGGTAAAGTATCTTTCTGTCACATTCCACCACAAGAGGGAGTAGCCAACCACATCTCTAACAGTGCCATAGTCCTTAAAGACTAGTTCAGAGGGAGGAAGGGAGGGATATAAAAGTTCAATTGAAGTAAAATGACTCTATATTAGGTTTAACATGCTTTAGAACCAAGAGAGGAATTCAATTGTCAAGTATGTACAGTAAGAGGATTAAAGAGGTAGAATCTGTCTCTTATGACAGCCTCTGTTGGTATTGACAAGCACAATATGGAAAAAATGGAGGAAGGGAATTGTGCAGTTCCACAGGTACACAGCTCCCTCTCCTGGTTCCTGTATTGACACCATCCACTGATTCTATTGTCTCTCTATCTATCAGCTGTCTATTGATAAACAGACAGCTGACCTTCAATAGAATGCCATGTCATGTCACGCAAAGGGCTACCAGGAATCAGCAGTGACAACAAGTACTGTTTTGATCCACTGTGCTTTCATATTGACCCAATAAAGTGTATCTCTCTCTCTGTCCCTGTGTATGGCGTTTGGGAGGCAGATGTACTGTACCTTCTTTCTCAGTAAGGAGTTGACAGATGGTGCGGCAGGAGCCTGAGGGGCTGCTCCTCTCCTCTGATCCCCATGGGGGCGCTGTAACCATGATCATTACTGGTATTCCTATTCACCCACACACTGAACCTAAAACAGCCTCAACTAGACCTCTCTTTTTGTCTTCTAGCTACTCTCTGAAGCTTAATCAATCACAATTCTAACCTTAACCACCTTAAGATACAGACATAACTGTCAGTATAAAATAGCAACCTATACCACAGAAGATCGACCAGTTTCACTGCACCTCTCGTTACTGCACTGAGGGAGATTGATGGAGAATGAGCATAGGGTCTCTCTAAAACTGCACATATTTGCATTGGATGAATATTCATCCCTCACTCTAACACAAACAAACAAAAAAACACATGCGCACACACACACACACACACACACACACACACTGGCGGAGAGTGTGAATCTGGGGGGCATCATCACAGTGACAGATCAAATAAGAGCTGGAAGAAAGTTACATTCTAATGAGGTTTCTGAAAAAAGGAGATAAGAAATGAATTGCTAATCCGCTCCACTCTCTCTTGCCCTTTCTCTTCTCTCTCTCTCTTCTCTGCCGACAGTGACTTGTTAAATTTTCCAGCCGAGACGAGCGTGGCAGGAAATGACAAGCAAAAGGCTTAGCTGAAAACACACACACGTTGGCTGGACATAACGGTGTGGTAGTGACAGAGGAGATGGGCCACCAGCCTGCAGGGTTGCGTAACCATTTGCGTAGGGAGACCATGGCAATCAGACAGGAGCCAAATCTACTTCCCTTTCAATACACACACACCATACTGCAGGCACACACACACACTAATTGTGCACACATACACTCATACACCCTCTATTGTCTTTCCATTCGGTCTCACTCTCTCCAGTCTCTTTCTTGTTTTCTCTGTCCCTTTCCCATCCTTCATCCCCCCCTATCTCTCTGTCAGAACAGTATCAAGTTGTCCCTTTATCTGAGTGTAATCTGAGCTGTACAGTGGCCCTGTGTGCTCCTGTGTAGTTGTATGGCTCAGCAGTGCCAAACACTGCAGTGCAGGGGTAGGCAACTAGAGGATGGCCGAGGGGCCGGAACATAAGTATAAAAATGTATAGACTGCAAATTGACCCCAACTTAGCCCAAAAAGAGATTGTTATTTTAAAATAACAATAATTTCATACCTTGACTACATTGAGACACAATCACGTCTCTTTTTTTATTCGTGGGAATAACTAAAATCCCGCGGGCCGCCTGTTGCTGACCCCTGCTGTAGTGTTTCCTACAGTAAGGTAGTGGTATGAAGCTATTGGAACAGCCACCTGCTGCTTCTGCAGAACACATCTGACTGTACAACTGTTGGGTTTGCTTAACTCACATGGTCTCAGTGTTGTTGGGGAGAAAAGAGAAAAAACATACCTGTGTTTGTATTTTCTGTAAAACAACACACCACACCTTATTCATTAAATAGCCACTGACTGAGTGGAAAAGTTTCAAGCAATGCTCTACTCTTAGCCACTCTAGATTTGTTTTCCTGCTCTTTGTTTTCTGCCTGCTTGCTTTTTCTCGGTCTCCCTCATCCCCTCCTGTTCTTGGCTTCACTCAGATACCAAATTCACCCCAAAGCAATCTCCTTGATACATTGATCCACTGAGTATATTCTGCATCCAATATTCTCACTCTCTTTCTCCCCCCCTTCTCTCTTCTTCCCTCTCTCCATCACACTTTCATCTGCCTCCCATACCTTTCCCTCTCCATCCATCTCGCTCTCTCTCTCATTAATTTGAACAGGATTGGATGCATCAGCCATGTGGTGATGACATGGTTGTAGATTACTGTAGACAGCAGATCTTTATCCAAACAGAGATGGAAGCATCACACCAGACCCAACTAACTAATCACAGCTAGATCAGACATGACGTCAAAATCAAACCCGACGTGTCAAACTCAGACCACACCTGTCAACCTCTGAGGATGATTCATACCCAGGCAGGATCACAGGGGGCTGGTAAAGATGAGAGACCTGGTCCAGCGTTCCTACTCTGAGGTGACTCAGATAGGTACCGACTCAGAGCACAGATGAGTACTGAGATTTGCACCTGCTGAGGTGTTATTCCTGCTGCTACCAAGTTAAGCCCTGTCATAAGTGGAGTGGTGACCTTTCACCTCTGTATCCGTGGTAACAGAGCCTGATATGAGATGGTGCCTTGCTGCAGAGGAGACAGGGGAGAATAATTTCATGCCTGCTGCAGGTGAGGGGAGAGGTAAGGGGAAAAGGTGAGAGGAGGGAGGACAGATGAGGTGTGAGGGGGGGAGGAAACAGGGGTGAGAAGAAAGAAAGGAGAAAAGACGAGGAGAAAGAAAGGAGAAGAGAGACAGACGAGGGAGGGTGAGAGAGGCAGAAGACTGGAAGAAGAGTGAAGTGAAAGACGGTTCTGATGGGTGGATGTTTTTCTCCTCTGTTCTCAATTCGACAGCCTGTTAGCACTGAAACTAATAACATTAAGTGGGCCGTGACTCAGCAATAAACAAAATGAAATGATCAAAGTTAAAACTGCTCTACTTTCCTGCACACACACACACACACACACACACACTTACATAACTCACAACACACTTTAATCCATAACTCACACGCCCTCCTCTACAGACTGATATAACTCAAGCTGATTAATGTAGCCAGGAGTGCATAGTGGCACGTTAGCTTTGCTGTAACGTTAGAGTAACGTTATGTAAACGTTAGCTGAGCGCTACGAGCCAGGTCCCATTCCCTCTCCTGTCGCCCGTCTTAATGGAAGTATAATTGGAGTAATGAGGGCTTATAAAGTGTGTGTGTGTGTGTGTAAGCTAAAACCGTCACCCCTGCCCCATTCCTAGGTGCTGAATATAGAGTCAGTCTGAGGGTACGACAGGTCAGTGACAGAGACAGAGAGAGAGAGACAGAGAAAGAGACAGAGAAGGAGAGAGAGTGATAAGGAGAGATCATAAGAACTAGAAGGGGAGAGAGAGACAGACAGAGAGCGAGAGAGAGAGAACTTACAGCTGCATGATCAGGTAGAGGTGGTTGGAACTCTCATAGATGTCTTCCAAAGCTACTATGTTCTCATGCTTGATTCTGTTGGGAGAGAAAACAAGAGACAATGTTAGTCATGTATAACTCTAACCCTTTAAACAGATGATCAGATCCCAGACTGTCTCAACCCCATCTACACCCCCTTTACCTCAGCTCTAGAGTCATCTCAAACACTTACTAAACATGAGCTCGCTCTCTCTCTCTGCGCCATGGTAACGGCTCCATGGTGAAAGTGTATAATGTGTACACATGCTTGTACTGTGGTGGTGGTCTGTACCACATGACCCGTTTGCGGATGATGTTATTGCAAGGGGGAATAATAGTGTACACACCTGACACACACACGAAGCGTGAGCAGGTGGGGAGTTCAGTAAATACAGTTGAAGTCGGAAGTTGGAGTCATTAAAACTCGTTTTTCAACAACTCCACAAATTTCGTTAACAAACTATCGTTTTGGCAAGTCGTTTAGAACATCTACTTTGTGCATGACACAAGTAATTTTTCCAACAATTGTTTACAGACAGATTATTTCACTTATACAGTGAGGGAAAAAAACATTTGATCCCCTGCTGATTTTGTACATTTGCCCACTGACAAAGAAATGATCACAGTCTATAATTTTAATGGTAGGTTTATTTGAACAGTGAGAGACAGAATAACAACAAAAAAATCCAGAAAAACGCATGTCAAAAATTTTATAAATTGATTTGCATTTTAATGAGGGAAATAAGTATTTGACCCCCTCTCAATCAGAAAGTTATCTGGCTCCCAGGTGTCTTTTATACAGGTAACGAGCTGAGATTAGGAGCACACTCTTAAAGGGAGTGCTCCTAATCTCAGTTTGTTATCTGTATAAAAGACACCTGTCCACAGAAGCAATCAATCAATCAGATTAAAAACTCTCCACCATGGCCAAGACCAAAGAGCTCTCCAAGGATGTCAGGGTCAAGATTGTAGACCTACACTGGAATGGGCTACAAGACCATCGGCAAGCAGCTTGGTGAGAAGGTGACAAAAGTTGGTGCGATTATTCGCAAATGGAAGAAACACAAAAGAACAGTCAATCTCCCTCGGCCTGGGGTTCCATGCAAGATCTCACATCGTGGAGTTGCAATGATCATGAGAATGGTGAGGAATCAGCCCAGAACTACACGGGAGGATCTTGTCAATGATCTCAAGGCAGCTGGGACCATAGTCACCAAGAAAACAATTGGTAACACACTACGCAGTGAAGGACTGAAATCCTGCAGCGCCCGCAAGGTCCCCCTGCTCAAGAAAGCACATATACAGGCCCGTCTGAAGTTTGCCAATGAACATCTGAATGATTCAGAGGAGAACTGGGTGAAAGTGTTGTGGTCAGATGAGACCAAAATCGAGCTCTTTGGCATCAACTCAACTCGTCGTGTTTGGAGGAGGAGGAATGCTGCCTATGACCCCAAGAACACCATCGCCACCGTCAAACATGAAGGTGGAAACATTATGCTTTGGGGGTGTTTTTCTGCTAAGGGGACAGTACAACTTCACCGCATCAAAGGGACGATGGACGGGGCCATGTACCGTCAAATCTTGGGTGAGAACCTCCTTCCCTTAGCCAGGGCATTGATAATGGGTTGTGGATGGGTATTCCAGCATTACAATGACCCAAAATACACGGCCAAGGCAACAACGGAGTGGCTCAAGAAGAAGCACATTAAGGTCCTGGAGTGGCCCAACCAGTCTCCAGACCTTAATCCCATAGAAAATCTGTGGAGGGAGCTGAAGGTTCGAGTTGCCAAACGTCAGGCTCGAAACCTTAATGACTTGGAGAAGATCTGCAAAGAGGAGTGGGACAAAATCCCTCCTGAGATGTGTGCAAACCTGGTGGCCAACTACAAGAAACGTCTGACCTCTGTGATTGCCAACAAGGGTTTTGCCACCAAGTACTAAGTCATGTTTTGCAGAGGGGTCAAATACTTATTTCCCTCATTAAAATGCAAATCAATTTATAAAATTTTTGACATGCGTTTTTCTGGATTTTGTTGTTGTTATTCTGTCTCTCACTGTTCAAATAAACCTACCATTAAAATTATAGACTGATCATGTCTTTGTCAGTGGGAAAACGTACAAAATCAGCAGGTGATCAAATACTTTTTTCCCTCACTGTAATTCACTGTATCACAATTCCAGCGGGTCAGAAGTTTACATACACTAAGTTGACTGTGCCTTTAAACAGCTTGGAAAATTCCAGAAAATGATGTCATGGCTTTACAAGCTTCTGATAGGCTAATTGACATCATTTGAGTCAATTGGAGGTGTACCTGTGGATGTATTTCAAGGCCTATCTTCAAACTCAGTGCCTCTTTGCTTGACATCATGGGAAAATCTAAAGAAATCAGCCAAGACCTCAGAAATAAAATGGTAGACCTCCACAAGTCTGGTTCATCCTTGGGAGCAATTTCCAAATGCCTGAAGGTACCACGTTCATCTGTACAAACAATAGGACGCAAATATAAACACCATGGGACCATGCAGTCGTTATACCGCTCAGGAAGGAGACGCGTTCTGTCTCCTAGAGATGAACTTACTTTGGTGCGAAAAGTGCAAATCAATCCCAGAACAACAGCAAAGGACCTTGTGAAGATGGAGGAAACAGGTACAAAAGTATCTATATCCACAGTAAAACGAGTCCTACATTGACATAACCTGAAAGGCCGCTCAGCAAGGAAGAAGCCACTGCTCCAAAACCGCCATAAAAAAGCCAGACTACGGTTTGCAACTGCACATGGGGACAAAGATCGTACTTTTTGGAGAAATGTCCTCTGGTCTGATGAAACAAAAATAGAACTGTTTGGCCATAATGACCATCGTTATGTTTGGAGGAAAAAGGGGAAGCTTGCAAGCCGAAGCACACCATCCCAACCATGAAGCACGGGGGTGACAGCATCATGCTGTGGGGGTGCTTTGCTGCAGGATGGACTGGTGCACTTCACAAAATAGATGGCATCATGAGAAAGGAAAATTATGTGGATACAGTGGGGGAAAAAAGTATTAGTCAGCCACCAATTGTGCAAGTTCTCCCACTTAAAAAGATGAGAGAGGCCTGTAATTTTCATCATAGGTACACGTCAACTATGACAGACAAATTGAGAAGAAAAAAATCCAGAAAATCACATTGTAGGATTTTTAATGAATTTATTTGCAAATTATGTTGGAAAATAAGTATTTGGTCACCTACAAACAAGCAAGATTTCTGCCTCTCACAGACCTGTAACTTCTTCTTTAAGAGGCTCCTCTGTCATCCACTCGTTACCTGTATTAATGGCACCTGTTTGAACTTGTTATCAGTATAAAAGACACCTGTCCACAACCTCAAACAGTCACACTCCAAACTCCACTATGGCCAAGACCAAAGAGATGTCAAAGGACACCAGAAACAAAATTGTAGACCTGCACCAGGCTGGGAAGACGGAATCTGCAATAGGTAAGCAGCTTGGTTTGAAGAAATCAACTGTGGGAGCAATTATTAGGAAATGGAAGACATACAAGACCACTGATAATCTCCCTCGATCTGGGGCTCCACGCAAGATCTCACCCCGTGGGGTCAAAATGATCACAAGAACGGTGAGCAAAAATCCCAGAACCACACGGGGGGACCTAGTGAATGACCTGCAGAGAGCTGGGACCAAAGTAACAAAGCCTACCATCAGTAACACACTACGCCACCAGGGACTCAAATCCTGCAGTGCCAGACGTGTCCCCCTGCTTAAGCCAGTACATGTCCAGGCCCGTCTGAAGTTTGCTAGAGTGCATTTGGATGATCCAGAAGAGGATTGGGAGAATGTCATATGGTCAGATGAAACCAAAATAGAACTTTTTGCTAAAAACTCAACTCGTCGTGTTTGGAGGAAAAAGAATGCTGAGTTGCATCCAAAGAACACCATACCTACTGTGAAGCATGGGGGTGGAAACATCATGCTTTGGGGCTGTTTTTCTGCAAAGGGACCAAGACGACTGATCCGTGTAAAGGAAAGAATGAATGGGGCCATGTATCGTGAGATTTTGAGTGAAAACCTCCTTCCATCAGCAAGGGCATTGAAGATGAAACGTGGCTGGGTCTTTCAGCATGACAATGATCCCAAACACACCGCCCGGGCAACGAACAAGTGGCTTCGTAAGAAGCATTTAAAGGTCCTGGAGTGGCCTAGCCAGTCTCCAGATCTCAACCCCATAGAAAATCTTTGGAGGGAGTTGAAAGTCCGTGTTGCCCAGCGACAGCCCCAAAACATCACTGCTCTAGAGGAGATCTGCATGGAGGAATGGGCCAAAATACCAGCAACAGTGTGTGAAAACCTTGTGAAGACTTACAGAAAACGTTTGACCTGTGTCATTGCCAACAAAGGGTATATAACAAAGTATTGAGAAACTTTTGTTATTGACCAAATACTTATTTTCCACCATAATTTGCAAATAAATTCATTAAAAATCCTACAATGTGATTTTCTTGATTTTTTTTTCTCATTTTGTCTGTCATAGTTGACGTGTACCTATGATGAAAATTACAGGCCTCTCTCATCTTTTTAAGTGGGAGAACTTGCACAATTGGTGGCTGACTAAATACTTTTTTTCCCCCACTGTATATTGAAACAACATCTCAAGACATCAGTCAGGAAGTTAAAGCTTGGTCGCAAATGGGTCTTCCAAATGGACAATGACCCCAAGCATACTTCCAAAGTTGTGGTAAAATGGCTTAAGGACAACAAAGTCAAGGTATTGGAGTGGCCGTCACAAAGCCCTGACCTCAATCCTATAGATAATTTGTGGGCAGAATTGAAAAAGCGTGTGCGAGCAAGGAGGCCTACAAACCTGACTCAGTTACACCAGCTCTGTCAGGAGGAATGGGCCAAAAAAGTTTGACCCAAGTTAAACAATTTAAAGGCAATGCTACCAAATACTAATTGAGTGTATGTAAACTTCTGACCCACTGGGAATGTGATGAAAGAAATAAAAGCTTAAATAAATCACTCTCTCTACTATTATTCTGACATTTCACATTCTTAAAATAAAGTGGTGATCCTAACTGACCTAAGACAGGGAATCTTTACTAGGATTAAATGTCAAGAATTGTGAAAAACTGAGTTTAAATGTATTTGGCTAAGGTGTATGTAAACTTCCGACTTCAACTGTACATTAAGAGTGTGTGATCTCTGAGCTCGTAGCGAGCAGTGGAGCATAGAGATATGAGTCATAGACAGTCTGAGGAGAGATGGCTGAGGTGAGATCACCAGAGATAATGATGTATATTTAAACTCTCCCTGGGATAATGGAAGGGTAAAAGCAGATATGAACCCCTAAGAGCAGAGATAGAAAATGATTCCTGGTCTCCAGTCATTATATGAAAAATGCTTCCACAGTTAATGTGACACTATCACACTGCCTGACACAGACACACAGCAGGAAAAGTATTTGACAACTGATTCTCTGTCTCTTAGAGAAGGGTGTGTGTGTGTGAATCCCTGTCGAGCTGCAGGATCCAAATAAACTAGTAGGTGACAGAGTGGGCAGAAACTGTGGCATGACACTATACCCTAACTTCACATAGAGGGAGAGAGGGAGAAAGAGAGCGTGATCATATCTTTGTGAATGTGTGTCTAGCAGTTTTCTATTCTTTACGCACGTGTGTGTGTTTCTGCATGTGTGTACACACGTGAAGTGTATACACATATATATAAACTACATGTCCAAAAGTATGTGGACACCTGCTCTTTGAACATTTCCTTCCAAAATCATGGGCATTAATATGGAGTTGGTCCCCCCCTTTGCTGCTATAACAGCCTCCACTCTTCTGGGAAGGCTTTCCACTAGATGTTGGAACATTACTGCGGGGACTTGCTTCCATTCAGCCACAAGAGCATTAGTGAAGTTGGGCACTGATGTTGGGCAATTATGCCTGGCTCGCAGTCGGGGTTCGAATTCATCCCAAAGGTGTTCGATGGGGTTGAGGTCAGGGCTCTGTGCAGGCCAGTCAAGTTCTTCCACACTGATCGACAAACCATTTTTGTATGGACCGCTCTTTGTGCACAGGGGTATTTTCACGCTGAAACAAGAAGGGCCTTCCCCAAACTGTTTGCCTCAAAGTTGGAAGCACAGAATCATCTAGAATGCCATTGTATGCTGTAGCATTAAGATTTTCCTTCACTGGAACTAAGGGTCCTAGCCCAAACCATGAAAAACAGCACCAGACCATTATTCCTCCTCCATCAAACTTTACAGTTGGTACTATGCATTGGGGGAGGTAGCGTTCTCCTGGCATCCACCAAACCCAGATTTGTCCGTCGGACTGCCAGATGGTGAAGCGTGATTCATCACTCCAGAGAACGCGTTTCCACCACTCCAGCCGACCATTGGCATTACGCACAGTGATCTTAGGCTTGTGTGCGGCTGCTCGGCCATGGAAACCTATTTCATGCAGCTCCCAACGAACAGTTATTGTGCTGACATTGCTTCCAGAGGCAGTTTGGAACTCGGTAGTGAGTGTTGCAACCGAGGGACAGACGATTATTTACGCGCTTCAGCACTCGGCGGTCCCGTTCAGTGAGCTTGTGTGGCCTACCACTTTGTGGCTGAGCCGTTGTTGCTCCTAGACATTTCCACTTCACAATAACAGCACATACAGTTGACCGGGGCAGCTCTAGCAGGGCAGAAATTTGACGAACTGACTTGTTGGAAAGGTGGCATCCTATGACGGTGCCACGTTGAAAGTCACTGAGCTCTTCAGTAAGGCCATTCAGCAGTTTCTATGGATTGCAGGCTGTGCTTTTTATACACGTCAGCAAGGGTGTGGGAAATGCCAAATCCATCATTTGAAGGATGTCCACACTATTATGGAAAACGTACAAATCAGCAGGTGATCAAATACTTTTTTCCCTCACTGTAATTCACTGTATCACAATTCCAGCGGGTCAGAAGTTTACATACACTAAGTTGACTGTGGCCTTTAAACAGCTTGGAAAATTCCAGAAAATGATGTCATGGCTTTACAAGCTTCTGATAGGCTAATTGACATCATTTGAGTCAATTGGAGGTTGTACCTGTGGATGTATTTCAAGGCCTATCTTCAAACTCAGTGCCTCTTTGCTTGACATCATGGGAAAATCTAAAGAAATCAGCCAAGACCTCAGAAATAAAATGGTTAGACCTCCACAAGTCTGGTTCATCCTTGGGAGCAATTTCCAAATGCCTGAAGGTACCACGTTCATCTGTACAAACAATAGGACGCAAATATAAACACCATGGGACCATGCAGTCGTTATACCGCTCAGGAAGGAGACGCGTTCTGTCTCCTAGAGATGAACTTACTTTGGTGCGAAAAGTGCAAATCAATCCCAGAACAACAGCAAAGGACCTTGTGAAGATGGAGGAGGAAACAGGTACAAAAGTATCTATATCCACAGTAAAACGAGTCCTACATTGACATAACCTGAAAGGCCGCCTCAGCAAGGAAGAAGCCACTGCTCCAAACCGCCATAAAAAAGCCAGACTACGGTTTGCAACTGCACATGGGGACAAAGATCGTACTTTTTGGAGAAATGTCCTCTGGTCTGATGAAACAAAAATAGAACTGTTTGGCCATAATGACCATCGTTATGTTTGGAGGAAAAAGGGGAAGCTTGCAAGCCGAAGCACACCATCCCAACCATGAAGCACGGGGGTGGACAGCATCATGCTGTGGGGGTGCTTTGCTGCAGGATGGACTGGTGCACTTCACAAAATAGATGGCATCATGAGAAAGGAAAATTATGTGGATACAGTGGGGGAAAAAAGTATTTGTCAGCCACCAATTGTGCAAGTTCTCCCACTTAAAAAGATGAGAGAGGCCTGTAATTTTCATCATAGGTACACGTCAACTATGACAGACAAATTGAGAAGAAAAAAATCCAGAAAATCACATTGTAGGATTTTTAATGAATTTATTTGCAAATTATGTTGGAAAATAAGTATTTGGTCACCTACAAACAAGCAAGATTTCTGCCTCTCACAGACCTGTAACTTCTTCTTTAAGAGGCTCCTCTGTCATCCACTCGTTACCTGTATTAATGGCACCTGTTTGAACTTGTTATCAGTATAAAAGACACCTGTCCACAACCTCAAACAGTCACACTCCAAACTCCACTATGGCCAAGACCAAAGAGATGTCAAAGGACACCAGAAACAAAATTGTAGACCTGCACCAGGCTGGGAAGACGGAATCTGCAATAGGTAAGCAGCTTGGTTTGAAGAAATCAACTGTGGGAGCAATTATTAGGAAATGGAAGACATACAAGACCACTGATAATCTCCCTCGATCTGGGGCTCCACGCAAGATCTCACCCCGTGGGGTCAAAATGATCACAAGAACGGTGAGCAAAAATCCCAGAACCACACGGGGGGACCTAGTGAATGACCTGCAGAGAGCTGGGACCAAAGTAACAAAGCCTACCATCAGTAACACACTACGCCACCAGGGACTCAAATCCTGCAGTGCCAGACGTGTCCCCCTGCTTAAGCCAGTACATGTCCAGGCCCGTCTGAAGTTTGCTAGAGTGCATTTGGATGATCCAGAAGAGGATTGGGAGAATGTCATATGGTCAGATGAAACCAAAATAGAACTTTTTGCTAAAAACTCAACTCGTCGTGTTTGGAGGAAAAAGAATGCTGAGTTGCATCCAAAGAACACCATACCTACTGTGAAGCATGGGGGTGGAAACATCATGCTTTGGGGCTGTTTTTCTGCAAAGGGACCAAGACGACTGATCCGTGTAAAGGAAAGAATGAATGGGGCCATGTATCGTGAGATTTTGAGTGAAAACCTCCTTCCATCAGCAAGGGCATTGAAGATGAAACGTGGCTGGGTCTTTCAGCATGACAATGATCCCAAACACACCGCCCGGGCAACGAACAAGTGGCTTCGTAAGAAGCATTTAAAGGTCCTGGAGTGGCCTAGCCAGTCTCCAGATCTCAACCCCATAGAAAATCTTTGGAGGGAGTTGAAAGTCCGTGTTGCCCAGCGACAGCCCCAAAACATCACTGCTCTAGAGGAGATCTGCATGGAGGAATGGGCCAAAATACCAGCAACAGTGTGTGAAAACCTTGTGAAGACTTACAGAAAACGTTTGACCTGTGTCATTGCCAACAAAGGGTATATAACAAAGTATTGAGAAACTTTTGTTATTGACCAAATACTTATTTTCCACCATAATTTGCAAATAAATTCATTAAAAATCCTACAATGTGATTTTCTTGATTTTTTTTTCTCATTTTGTCTGTCATAGTTGACGTGTACCTATGATGAAAATTACAGGCCTCTCTCATCTTTTTAAGTGGGAGAACTTGCACAATTGGTGGCTGACTAAATACTTTTTTCCCCCACTGTATATTGAAACAACATCTCAAGACATCAGTCAGGAAGTTAAAGCTTGGTCGCAAATGGGTCTTCCAAATGGACAATGACCCCAAGCATACTTCCAAAGTTGTGGTAAAATGGCTTAAGGACAACAAAGTCAAGGTATTGGAGTGGCCGTCACAAAGCCCTGACCTCAATCCTATAGATAATTTGTGGGCAGAATTGAAAAAGCGTGTGCGAGCAAGGAGGCCTACAAACCTGACTCAGTTACACCAGCTCTGTCAGGAGGAATGGGCCAAAAAAGTTTGACCCAAGTTAAACAATTTAAAGGCAATGCTACCAAATACTAATTGAGTGTATGTAAACTTCTGACCCACTGGGAATGTGATGAAAGAAATAAAAGCTTAAATAAATCACTCTCTCTACTATTATTCTGACATTTCACATTCTTAAAATAAAGTGGTGATCCTAACTGACCTAAGACAGGGAATCTTTACTAGGATTAAATGTCAAGAATTGTGAAAAACTGAGTTTAAATGTATTTGGCTAAGGTGTATGTAAACTTCCGACTTCAACTGTACATTAAGAGTGTGTGATCTCTGAGCTCGTAGCGAGCAGTGGAGCATAGAGATATGAGTCATAGACAGTCTGAGGAGAGATGGCTGAGGTGAGATCACCAGAGATAATGATGTATATTTAAACTCTCCCTGGGATAATGGAAGGGTAAAAGCAGATATGAACCCCTAAGAGCAGAGATAGAAAATGATTCCTGGTCTCCAGTCATTATATGAAAAATGCTTCCACAGTTAATGTGACACTATCACACTGCCTGACACAGACACACAGCAGGAAAAGTATTTGACAACTGATTCTCTGTCTCTTAGAGAAGGGTGTGTGTGTGTGAATCCCTGTCGAGCTGCAGGATCCAAATAAACTAGTAGGTGACAGAGTGGGCAGAAACTGTGGCATGACACTATACCCTAACTTCACATAGAGGGAGAGAGGGAGAAAGAGAGCGTGATCATATCTTTGTGAATGTGTGTCTAGCAGTTTTCTATTCTTTACGCACGTGTGTGTGTTTCTGCATGTGTGTACACACGTGAAGTGTATACACATATATATAAACTACATGTCCAAAAGTATGTGGACACCTGCTCTTTGAACATTTCCTTCCAAAATCATGGGCATTAATATGGAGTTGGTCCCCCCCTTTGCTGCTATAACAGCCTCCACTCTTCTGGGAAGGCTTTCCACTAGATGTTGGAACATTACTGCGGGGACTTGCTTCCATTCAGCCACAAGAGCATTAGTGAAGTTGGGCACTGATGTTGGGCAATTATGCCTGGCTCGCAGTCGGGGTTCGAATTCATCCCAAAGGTGTTCGATGGGGTTGAGGTCAGGGCTCTGTGCAGGCCAGTCAAGTTCTTCCACACTGATCGACAAACCATTTTTGTATGGACCGCTCTTTGTGCACAGGGGTATTTTCACGCTGAAACAAGAAGGGCCTTCCCCAAACTGTTGCCTCAAAGTTGGAAGCACAGAATCATCTAGAATGCCATTGTATGCTGTAGCATTAAGATTTTCCTTCACTGGAACTAAGGGTCCTAGCCCAAACCATGAAAAACAGCACCAGACCATTATTCCTCCTCCATCAAACTTTACAGTTGGTACTATGCATTGGGGGAGGTAGCGTTCTCCTGGCATCCACCAAACCCAGATTTGTCCGTCGGACTGCCAGATGGTGAAGCGTGATTCATCACTCCAGAGAACGCGTTTCCACCACTCCAGCCGACCATTGGCATTACGCACAGTGATCTTAGGCTTGTGTGCGGCTGCTCGGCCATGGAAACCTATTTCATGCAGCTCCCAACGAACAGTTATTGTGCTGACATTGCTTCCAGAGGCAGTTTGGAACTCGGTAGTGAGTGTTGCAACCGAGGACAGACGATTATTACGCGCTTCAGCACTCGGCGGTCCCGTTCAGTGAGCTTGTGTGGCCTACCACTTTGTGGCTGAGCCGTTGTTGCTCCTAGACATTTCCACTTCACAATAACAGCACATACAGTTGACCGGGGCAGCTCTAGCAGGGCAGAAATTTGACGAACTGACTTGTTGGAAAGGTGGCATCCTATGACGGTGCCACGTTGAAAGTCACTGAGCTCTTCAGTAAGGCCATTCTACTGCCAATGTTTGTCTATGGAGATTGCATGGCTGTGTGCTTTATTCTATACACCTGTCAGCAAAGGGTGTGGCTGAAATAGCCAAATCCACTCATTTGAAGGGATGTCCACATACTTTTGTATATATAGTGTACATGTGAATGACAATGTTTGTGTATGTAGAATTGACCCTGGGAAGCTGTGTCTTGTGACCTCTGCAGGCCATATTAGCCTGTCAATCAGCTGGTTGCCAGGAGATTCTGAGCGGCAGAAAGCCGAAGGACAAACATGGAACGCGTCAGAGGCTAGGCCACACACCCCGTCACTGACTGGATCACCATGACAACACCTCCTATCCCCCATAAATATTGTCAGGGTCAGTGGTGTCTCTCCTGTCCCTAGGGAACACACATGGTATACTGCAATAATAACACTAACACATACTGTAGACACCTACTTCCGGTCAGTGAGTGACTGAGTGAGTTGTGCGAGAGAATGTCAGAGAGAGAGAGTGAGTAAGTGAGTGAGTGAGACCTTGTGGAACTACTGAGCATTGGGCCAGATCCAAGGTGATATCTGACTACATACACACACGTGGACGCTCACAAGCACAGCTGAGTCCAAGCTGTGGAGAGGGATTACTGTATTATCCAGAAACGTGGAGATGCATATCTTTGATATTATCCCCTGGTGTATGTGTGTGTTCATACACGTCTCTACTCAGCTACAGTACCTGACAATATGTATGAATAATACATGTAAAATACATCATATGTGTTCCTCACTGGGAGAAAAGATGAGAAGGTACATTCAGTACAGTATCAGTGCTTAGGAGACAAGATCACTAAGCAAAGAAATAGGAGACAGTGAGGACGTTTTCTATAGTCGCTACATACCTTGATCTCCTGTTTTGTCAGTGTGAGACTGTGGATCGTGACCTAAAGACAACAGTGAATGGGGAGTAGTGGGAGGGATGCGAGCGTAATGCGCGGTGGTGAGGGGCAGCAGTGTTTCCGTTCGGTCGCCAGGGTAACAGGTGTTAGGGAGGAGAAGGTAGGTGGGAGACATACTTGCGGAGCACGGTGATCTCGTTCTCGATGCTGCTCTCTTTCCCCTTCAGGGCCTTCTTGGGGATACACTTCACAGCAAACATCTTCCCTGTAGACCTCTCCTGGGCCAACACCACCTCAGAGAACGCCCCGCTAGGAGAGAGAGATGGAGACAGAAAGAGAAAATATTTGATTAATCAATTAGCAATTGTGTAAGACAGTTCAACACAAGTGCAGAAACTCAACACAGACATGAAACAGCAAAAGAAAGTTAACAAGGTTTCCATGAGAGAGACAGAGAGATATAGGGAAAGAGAGAGAAAGGTGGAGGAGAGGGATAAAGAGAAGGAGAAAGAGAAGGAGAGAAAGAGGTGGCAGAAGGGAGCTAGAGAGAGGGAGAGAGATTTATAAAGCAGAGTTCATTAATGCAGTCTCAGCTCCTTGAATCACACTGTTCTCTGTCCTGCTTATCTGAAACCCTCCAAACCACTCACTCACTATATCACCATCTCTCACATACTTCACAGCCACTCAGCTATCACTCTATCGCTCTCTCCCTCACCGTCTCCCCCTTTCTCCTTTCTCTTCATCTATCACTCCCTCTTGTTGTCCTTTACTCATTGTTTCATGTTCAATTGCTCTATAATATGCTTTATCTCCTCCTTATCCTTTGTCCCAGCTCCCTCTTTCCCTTGGTCTCTCTCCCTCTCCTCCCTCTCTCCCTTTCTCCACAGTTCATGTTTATTCTCACCATGTTCTCTCCTCCATATATCGGCTCCCTTCTTCCCCCTTCATCTCCTTCTATCACTTTCCCTCCCTCACCTCTTGTTTTCCTGCTGCGCTCTTCTTGTTTGCGCGGTAGGAAATCAAATTTCATATCTGGTTTGCTTTCATTCATCAGCTGACTAATGGTGCGAGCTGCTGTGTCAATCAGCAATGAAGGAACGAGGGGAGACAGGGAACATGTCCTCCCTCTTCCTCTCATCCTCTCTACCCTCTTCCTCTCCGCTATTATTCTATTCTTCCGTTCCCCGCCTCTCCTCATCCCCCTCTCGTCTCTCCTGCCATTGGGACATGGTGCTGGTTATGAATTAATTCATACTTCCTTCCCTCCTTTCTGTCCTATTTCACTCTGCTGATGGCACATCAAGCATGACAACATCATTTCGGAAAGTGTAACATTTGAGTAAAACCTTAGTAATACACTATTAATATAACCTTAGTAATATTCAACATATCTTATTAATGCGTGTGTGTGTGACGTGTGTGTGTGTGTGTGTGTGTTTAGTGCTATAGTCCAGATAGCCCTAGAGACATTTAGAAGCCCCCATTTTCTGATGACAGCCGACTCCAAGACATCACCATCTGACACTACACTGAAAAGCTCTAAAAACACTGACGCAGAGATAAAACAGCAATGCAGGCCTGTCGCTATGCTGCATACACACACACACGTTCCCTTTCATGTGTGATTCGCAATTACAAACTGGATAGTTCTGGTTCCGCTTGATGGTTGGTTGATTATTCACAAAATCATGGTCTCAGAGCTCAATATCGGACCTGTTTCAATTACTATTGCCAGAGACATAACAGCCAGGCATTGTTCGGCAAAGCACAAATGATTAATCTTTCTCATACATCTCTACTCCTCCATCTCTTTCTTTCTTTTTTTTTTTTTTTTTTTTTTTAGGGGGTAGATCAGCTTTAATATTGCAGATAGATTGTAACTTCCATCAATGTAATTGTCTGCATCACTTCCAATCCCCCATATTTCCGTTTTTTTTCTCGCATATATATATATATATATACAGTGGGGAGAACAAGTATTTGATACACTGCCGATTTTGCAGGTTTTCCTACTTACAAAGCATGTAGAGGTCTGTAATTTTTATCATTGGTACACTTCAACTGTGAGAGACGGAATCTAAAAATCCAGAATATCACATTGTATGATTTTTAAGTAATTAATTTGCATTTTATTGCATGACATAAGTATTTGATACATCAGAAAAGCAGAACTTAATATTTTGTACAGAAACCTTTGTTTGCAATTACAGAGATCATACGTTTCCTGTAGGTCTTGACCAGGTTTGCACACACTGCAGCAGGGATTTTGGCCCACTCCTCCATACAGACCTTCTCCAGATCCTTCAGGTTTCGGGGCTGTCGCTGGGAAATACAGACTTTCAGCTCCCTCCAAAGATTTTCTATTGGGTTCAGGTCTGGAGACTGGCTAGGCCACTCCAGGACCTTGAGATGCTTCTTACGGAGCCACTCCTTAGTTGCCCTGGCACGACCCATCTTCAATGCGCTTACTGAGGGAAGGAGGTTGTTGGCCAAGATCTCGCGATACATGGCCCCATCCATCCTCCCCTCAATACGGTGCAGTCGTCCTGTCCCCTTTGCAGAAAAGCATCCCCAAAGAATGATGTTTCCACCTCCATGCTTCACGGTTGGGATGGTGTTCTTGGGGTTGTACTCATCCTTCTTCTTCTTTCTCCAAACACGGCGAGTGGAGTTTAGACCAAAAAGCTAAATTTCTGTCTCATCAGACCACATGACCTTCTCCCATTCCTCCTCTGGATCATCCAGATGGTCATTGGAAAACTTCAGATGGGCCTGGACATGCGCTGGCTTAAGCAGGGGGACCGTGCGTGCGCTGCAGGATTTTAATCCATGACGGCGTAGTGTGTTACTAATGGTTTTCTTTGAGACTGTGGTCCCAGCTCTCTTCAGGTCATTGACCAGGTCCTGCCGTGTAGTTCTGGGCTGATCCCTCACCTTCCTCATGATCATTGATGCCCCACGAGGTGAGATCTTGCATGGAGCCCCAGACCGAGGGTGATTGACCGTCATCTTGAACTTCTTCCATTTTCTAATAATTGTGCCAAAAGTTGTTGCCTTCTCACCAAGCTGCTTGCCTATTTTCCTGTAGCCCATCCCAGCCTTGTGCAGGTCTACAATTTTATCCCTGATGTCCTTACACAGCTCTCTGGTCTTGGCCATTGTGGAAAGGTTGGAGTCTGTTTGATTGAGTGTGTGGACAGGTGTCTTTTATACAGGTAACGAGTTCAAACAGGTGCAGTTAATACAGGTAATGAGTAGAGAACAGGAGGGCTTCTTAAAGAAAAACTAACAGGTCTGTGAGAGCTGGAATTCTTACTGGTTGGTAGGTGATCAAATACTTATGTCATGCAATAAAATGCAAATTAATTACTTTAAAATGATATAATGTGATTTTCTGGATTTGTTGAAGTGCACCTGTTGAAGTGTACCTATGATAAAAATTACAGACCTCTACATGCTTTGTAAGTAGGAAAACCTGCAAAATCGGCAGTGTATCAAATACTTGTTCTCCCCACTGTATATATACACACACAGTGAGGGAAAACATTATTTGATCCCCTGCTGATTTTATACGTTTGCCCACTGACAAAGAAATTATCAGTCTATAATTTTAATAGTAGGTTTATTTGAACAGTGAGAGACAGAATAACAAACAAAAAAATCCAGAAAAATGTTATAAATTGATTTGCATTTTAATGAGGGAAATAAGTATTTGACCCCTCTGCAAAACATGACTTAGTACTTGGTGGCAAAACCCTTGTTGGCAATCACAGAGGTCAGACGTTTCTTGTAGTTGGCCACCAGGTTTGCACACATCTCAGGAGGGATTTTGTCCCATTTCTCTTTGCAGATCTTCTCCAAGTCATTAAGGTTTCGAGGCTGACATTTGGCAACTCGAACCTTCAGCTCCCTCCACAGATTTTCTATGGGATTAAGGTCTGGAGACTGGCTAGGCCACTCCAGGACATTAATGTGCTTCTTCTTGAGCCACTCCTTTGTTGACTTGGCCGTGTGTTTTAGGTCATTGTAATGCTGGAATACCCATCCACAACCCATTTGCAATGCCCTGGCTGAGGGAAGGAGGTTCTCACCCAAGATTTGATGGTACATGGCCCCGTCCATCGTCCCTTTGATGCGGTGAAGTTGTCCTGTCCCCTTAGCAGAAAAACACCCCCAAAGCATAATTTTTCCACCTCCATGTTTGACGGTGGGTATGGTGTTCTTGGGGTCATAGGCAGCATTCCTCCTCCTCCAAACACGGCGAGTTGAGTTGATGCCAAAGAGCTCGATTTTGGTCTCATCTGACCACAACACTTCCACCCAGTTCTCCTCTGAATCATTCAGATGTTCATTGGCAAACTTCAGACGGGCATGTATATGTGCTTTCTTGAGCAGGGGGACCTTGCGGGCACTGCAGGATTTCAGTCCTTCACGGCGTAGTGTGTTACCAATTGTTTTCTTGGTGACTATGGTCCCAGCTGCCTTGAGATCATTGACAAGATCCTCCCGTGTAGTTCTGGGCTGATTCCTCACCGTTCTCATGATCATTGCAACTCAACGAGGTGAGATCTTGCATGGGGCCCCAGGCCGAGGGAGATTGACAGTACTTTTGTGTTTCTTCCATTTGCGAATAATCGCACCAACTTTTGTCACCTTCTCACCAAGCTGCTTGGCGATGATCTTGTAGCCCATTCCAGCCTTGTGTAGGTCTACAATCTTGTCCCTGACATCCTTGGAGAGCTCTTTGGTCTTAGCCATGGTGGAGAGTTTAGAATCTGATTGATTGATTGCTTCTGTGGACAGGTGTCTTTTATACAGGTAACAAGCTGAGATTAGGAGCACTCCCTTTAAGAGTGTGCTCCTAATCTCAGCTCGTTACCTGTATAAAAGACACCTGGGAGCCAGAAATCTTTCTGATTGAGAGGGGGTCAAATACTTATTTCCCTCATTAAAATGCAAATCAATTTATAACATTTTTGACATGAGTTTTTCTGGATTATTTTGTTGTTATTCTGTCTCTCACTGTTCAAATAAACCTACCATTAAAATTATAGACTGATCATTTCTTTGTCACTTTAACTCTACTTTAACTCTACCCACATGTACATATTACTTCAACTACCTCAACTAGCCGGTGCCCCCGCACATTGACTCTGCACCGGTACCCCCCTGTATATAGCCTCCCTACTGTTATTTTATTTTACTTCTGCTCTTTTTTTCTCAACACTTTTTTGGTTGTTGTTTTATTTTTACTTTTTTTGTTAAAAAGAAATGCACTGTTGGTTAAGGGCTGTAAGTAAGCATTTCACTGTAATGTCTGCACCTGTTGTATTCGGCGCATGTGGCCAATACAATTTGATTTGATTTGATTTGAAATGTACTAAATCAGCAGGGAATCAAATACTTTTTTTTCCCTCACTGTATATATACATATATATACATACACACACATATATATACATACATATCCTTTAAAAATATATCTATATTTCCCTTTATTACTTTCCAACCCCACCATCCTTTCCCTAATTGGAGTAAACTAGTGAACAACAATGCTTAGGCCTCTACTTCATGCTTATACATACTATATACATTTTATGGACACAGTCAATAATTATATTTTGTTTGTTTTTACTCCTGAACTTCCTCCGATCATTTTCATGATGTCCATCTGGTATGCTTCTATATGCCCTATGTTTCTAACTGTGCTCTTTCACAAAAGCTCACAATATATAACCTATATACTTATTATGGACACAGCATGTCTTACACTA